CTAACTATAGAGTATTTCCTCTTGTATTTTATTTTCAGCTTTTTAAATTTGCTTTTTAAACATTTCTGAGAAAGCAGAAACGCTGGTTAATTACAGCTCGAAATCAACTCTTTACTAACCTATTGAGGCATAATCATGAATAAATTAATATTAATGTCAACAGCGAATTCAGCAACAGCTATTAGCGAAAGTTATTAGCAGTAATTAGACACTGAGAGGTTTGTCTTGTGCCTTTTTCATTTTCACGCTTCACTCATGCTGCATGTGCTCTATTTGTATTGTACCAGCAGACTCAGGTGGCTGAGAGATGCAGAAATCTTGGCGCTATACAAGGATTTTCTGTTGACCCTGTGCTTAAGTGGGTGTCGCGGAACTTGACAAGCCCTGTGCTGAGAAAAATGCTGGTAATATTATCTCTCTACACTAGAGTAAATGCAGTGCCTTGCTAAAGAGAGCAGTGCCACCACACAAAGGGGAAGCCACACAGGTAAGTCGACCTCGCTAAACAACTTGGCAGCTTTCACTGTGTAAATACGCTACCAGTTAAAAGTTTAAACACAGTTGACCGACTTTGCTTCTCATGATTCTAAAAACCTTTTGATCTAAAACGTATGCTTAAATGCTTGAAATTTATTTTATAGACAAATATCAATTGTGTGGTTATGTAGGAAAAGCATGGGGATTCAGTATTGTTTAAAAAATTTAGATAAGAAGAGGGAAGGCCAACAATTATAGTGTCAGTTATATTTTTTAGAAACTCTTCTAAAGAGTTTCTAAGAAAATATTTTGTATAGTTGATTTGTAGTAAGTTGTAGTAAGTAATTGTGTATATTATTTTTTTATTATTTTTGACATTTATATATCCTTTGATGCTGATATCTCTAATTAAATAAAATATTTATTTACTTATATTTAAGCAGGTATTCTGTTCTTATGGACCTTCTTTTTGTTTTCAGAATGTCTTGGGTCAATGGCTTTAAAGCTGCAAGAGTGGACAACCATAAGACGGCATGGGGTGAGCGCAATGGCAGGAAATCAAGGTGTAAAAGGGGCTCGTCCCTGTGCAACCCACGCTACATGAGCTGTCTACGGGACCCCGAGTCTATGGAGCCCCCTTCGCAGCACTACTCCTGTGCAGCAGGGGGCGCCACCAGCAGCAACTTCAGCACACGCTGTGTTTGGCAAGAGGACCATTATGGCAGGAAGGGTGATGTGGGCCTGAGAGCCGTGGACCTGGCGTTTGAAGATTCTGAGACGAGGCAAACGAAAGATGCTGAGGACCCCGATGATGGCGGAGAGGAGAGGAAGGTTCCCGACAGGTGTTTTTTGACTTGCTTGTTGCGTCTGGCTCACGTTTTTCAGTCCAAGAAGTTCAAGTCGGCCAAGCTCGAACGACTGTATCAGCGGTACTTCTTCAGGCTCAACCAGAGCTCTCTTACGATGCTCATGGGGGTCCTGGTTGTGGTTTGCGGGGTTATGCTGGCGTTCCACTGCGTTCAAGGTCCACCAGACGTGGCATTCGCTTCGGTGCTCTCCGTAGCCATGGGCCTGTTCTTAGCCTTGATGGTGGTGTGTAACAGAAACGGCTTCCACCAGGACTACATGTGGATTGTGAGCTATTTGCTCATGGCAGTGTTAGTCGTGGTGCAGGTGTTTGGCTTGTTGATGGTGGATCCACCCAGTGTGTCTGAAGGGATATGGTGGACGGTGTTCTTCATCTACATCATCTACACGCTGCTACCGGTGCGAATGAGAGCAGCTGTGATCACTGGAGCTGTGCTGTCC